ACAGAAACAGAAGCATAGACCATCTGTTAGGGGCTTTAATGAAGCTTCTCCATGACACCATTGACCTGTACCCTTTTAGCTCTCGAGCAGATCCACACCCCCAAAGCACTAATGCACCTTCACCCCCGCGGTCCTCATCTGAGCATCTGCGTGGACACAGCTGTTCGGCAGACGGCAAACAATTAGATGACCCGGGAGGGGGGGGGGGGGGTGTTGCAAAACCATGTCTCATTTGTTTTTCACCGTCACCTGCACCACATAACGCAGTCATCAGACAGAAACCAGGGGAAAGGGGGGGGGGGCGCAGAGGACTCCCCAAATCCTCTTCTGTCATTCAGGACAGGGAGCAGATCGTCATCGCAAACTTGTCCGCATGAGATCAATGCGGAGTTTCGTACCTGAAGGTACGAATCGGTAGGTGGCTCCTGCGGTCGCCGCCTGCCTCTGTAGCGCCCAGCGTCCTCGGACCCGTGCCAGACGCGGGAAGAGGGAACGTGGGCAGGTCGTGCCCGTGGTCTCCTGCCCACTGTGCCAGGGCAGCACTTGGGCTAATAACACTCCTAACCCACCCCCCGAACACCCCCCTCGCCAGCTGCAGCAATTAGCTGCTGATTTCTTGAGGAAATTACAGCATATGTTTCATGTTGGGGAGTACAGCCGGGCCAGAGCTGTACATCACAAACTCTTACATTGTTGGCTTATTCACTCTGCATTTCCATCGTTTTTGGTACTTTAGCCCTAAGCTAACATAACATGCCATTAAATCTTTAAATATTTCACTAAAGGATTATTAGAATAAGCATAATATTTAAAAAAACACTGTATATATATATATATAATTTTATTATTTTTTTTAAGTAGTGTATTCATAAATATTCCAGTTCCTGAACTCAGTCTTTGACAAAAGCAGGTATGTCCTTATTCTTGTCCTTTCTGGAGACCTCTATACCAAATATGTCATTTTCTCATGGGCGATTTGCTCAGGCTCTCAGATTTCATAGGTTCTCAATAGGATTAATTTTGGGACTTAAAAATACTTTTCTTAAGCCTCTCAAGTGTAACTTCAGCCTTGTGCTGTGGGTCATTGTCTTTTTAAAACAGAAATGACACCACTGTTTTATCCATCTATCTTCTAACCATTTAAACTAACTTTTATCCAAAGTCACACACATTTTGAGAAAGCAAGCACTTTGGAGCACTTTGCGGTTAAGGGCCTTGCTCAAGATAGAAATCTGTATAACAACCCTGGGATTTGCTAACCTTCCAATCATAGTGCCCTAAACTGCTAAATCACACACCAGTTACCCTGGCCAGGATTATGGGGATCATTGTGTAGTGCTGGAGCAAAAATAGATAGCTAGATATTTTGTTTATTATTTATGGATTCAATGCCTAACAATCCATCCATTTTCTAAAACTACTTGTCCTGTTCAGGGTCGTGGGGGGGTCCAGAGCCTATGGGCACAAGGTAAGGAACAACCTAGGATGGGGCACCAACCCATCACAGGGCACACTCACACCAATGGGCAATTTGGAGACTCCAATTAACCTCAGCGTGTTTTTGGACGCCGGGGGGAAACTGGAGTACCTAGAGGAAACCCCATGATGACACAGGGGGAGAACATGCAAACACCACAGACTCCGAACCATGACAGAGACTCCGAACCCTGGCATCACAGGTGTGAGGCAACAGTGCCAACCACAGTGCCAACCACAGTGCCAACATGCTGCCCCATAGCTAATTTTATACACAGTTAAATGTTACTTGCTGGTTATACAGCAAATATGCTCATAAAGAAACTGGCTAAGAACTTATCTGTGTGTTGTAGCCTAAACTGAAAACATGCAATAAATCTACAAGCGTCAAAAGCACTTCGTGTTCTGCATTCCTCTAGTGGTAATCCTGCTATTCATATCTTCCTGACACTATACCCCAAGAAAATATAGACTGTATTAACATCCACTTTGACCCATACATTTAAAATATATAGATTATTAAAGTATACAGTACAGATTAAATGTATGCATTATTGTGCGGAGAATCAATAAGCTTGGCTGCTATGGTTTGAGCACCTTGCACCTTATTCCTGTTGTGACCTTGGACAAAATGGCTCAAAGAATTCCGCACAAGGTAATTTATATCTAGGCAACAAGGCTCAACAACTACCTATGAATTAGTTCCCAGGGTGCTCCAGCCCCTTCACCATGATGTGAAGCAGACATATCCTCAATCAACGTAAAAGTTTAATTTAACTAAGACAATCTTCCTGCTTTGAAAGAATAATGAAAATCTTAATATACCCTTGTTTTTTTAATGTGCCCTACAAAAATAATTTTTAAATATATTGCATAGTTTACAAGCTTGCTTTACAAGCAATGTCAGTTATTAGAGAACTCACAGTACATCATGGGAAAATAACAGAATTACACTTAGTAAAGTCAAATTATCTCATTACTCCAAAATATTCCCCTAATCTATTGCAATTAATTGTCAGTTTTTCATACATATTAGTGCATATCTGTCAGCCTTCTTGCCATAGCCTGAAGTTTTATCAAAAATCCTTGCAGTCCTCCTATTCTCAGAACACATTTTTCATCATCAGTTTACAGATTTCAAGTGAACATTTCTTTTTGCCAGGACATTGATTACAGGTCATTCCAAGTTCCATGATGATTCCAGCAGGTTGCATTATGAACCAATGCAATAATCATAATAAACTGAAGTGCTGGGATACTGGAAACATCAATATAAGTCAATATAAGATTAATCTGCATTCAGTGTTTACTTATCTATCATTCTAAAGTCAGAAATCTGTGAAATGCTTTCAGTTATACCACCCTCCCATGTCTGACATGTTCTTAGGAAATCTGATTGCACCATTACAGACACTGCACACCACACTCCTACAATTTGATGGTGTATGAAATGGCATTAACAAGGACATACTACAACAGTACAACCATGAAGCTGTACAGAATGTTAAAATGTTGCAATGTAACATTTACATATGCACCACATATTATGTGTATACAAACTATTGGCCTCCTGTGGTGACTTGAGGAAGCAAGTATTGAATTAAATTAAATAAAAACTGTGATAAACAGATTGTCTAAATGCTTCGTTTTTTTCTATAATCATTTCATTTAACTTCATAAATTGCAAATATATAATTAGAAAAGGTCTTAGCCTTCTGGAAAAACCTGGGGTAGTTAGTATAGTTCTGATCTGCAGCGCATCGTTTTATGAGCACATGGGCATAAATTATAATCAAAACCAAAACCAGCCAATACAACCCTCTGGACCCCCTTAAATGGGTGGGGACCTCAACCCCCCCCCCCCCCCCATGCTTCTACCCAAAGTTACGCGCTTGTATCTGAGATAAAAAGGAAAGAAAGGGGAATCTGTTAGAAGTAGAATTTTTCTTATGGAGTTTCTGGCAGCCTACCCTAATTATTTATCAAAGCCCATTCCGACAGGGGGGCGTTTGCTTCACACTGTATTTTAGAAAATATGACAGTTTCCTGACGTGCATACACAGTGATTTCCCAATTTCTTAGACGGTGCGCATGATGCTTTATTTGCAATCCATCATAAAATGCGTGTAATATTAAGGGTAGCGTTTGTGTGGGCGGTGTGAGCTCGAGGGAGAAGGCATCCATTGTGGATTACAAGGTTCTGTTAGGGGTGGGGGTAACGGTGCCTTAAAGAGTCATTAAAGGCTCTCATTCTACGTTATTATATTATATTATATTATACATAATCCTGTTCATGAATTTAATTTATCTACACAACATTTTCATATGCTTTGGTAAAATATTATAAAATATGCTACAAATTTTTGTTCTTCCAAAGTTCGGGAAACATGTCTCCGGTGAAAGCAGCATAATAAAATTTCGAAAAATAAATCGGTAAACGAATTAACGGCATAACAAACGGGCCCAGTATGCTGAAAATGTCCAACTGGTCTTAGCCCAGTGCAAGATAAGGATGCTTAACCATTTCCTCGTATGGTTCATCTCCTCACATGAATGCGCACTTTTTTCCTCTGCAGCACAGAGAGAATAGCTTCTGGCTTTATTCAACGAATACAGAGTTTAAGTAAAATTATCATTAAGAACAAGCAATATGATTAGACGAGGAAAACGGGGAGGCGAGAAACTTGGGTTAACAAGAGATTTGCCGGCAGGGACACCAATGCACTGCATTTTAGATACTGCCAACATCCCATTCAGAGGTACCTCTTGGCACCGATGAGATTAAGTTTTAAAATCTTAAAAACCACGTGCGTCCGAATGTGTCCCTGTAAAGGGCTTGCAATGGCTGCTTGCTCCTTGCTCCATCGGAATCAACAAGTTCATAGATGGCAGGCTGGTGCACAATTTACAAGCAGTTTATTAATCACTCGTGGGGAGTGAGATATGCTGCCGCTAATCACCGGTTAATCAAGGGCTGCTGCTAGCCAGGCCCCGAAAGCCCGGCATGCGGTCACCAAGGTTTGGAGAGGATACGACTAACGGCAGGATAAAACTGCGGCCAAACACACCAGCTGATCCAAGGCTGTGTCGAACCAATTATCATTCAACAATTAAATATCTGGCAGCTTCATACGGGCAGAACTGTGACTTACATGGAATCTATGGACGGATTTAAATGATTTATATTTTAAAACTGAGAAACGAGACCACATGTTACGTGCATTAAGTGACATGTAAATATATGAAATTATCAGTAAACACCATGTTTTCCGCTTTATCTTTGATTGCCAGATTACTTTACATAGGAATCTTGAAAATTAAGAAAAATAGTGGGCTAGTAACAGACGATTATGTATAGTAGCATTGTAGTCCTAAGAAACACCAGCAGAAACACTATGCAAACAGATACTTAAAAAATGACAATGTCATTTGAGTTTGGTTTCCTTACTAAAGGACGTGAAACAGGTTTCAGCGCGAACTGGCCAGCGCGCTCCTGTCAGCGCAGGAATGAAAAAGACACTCACCAGGTATGGCCAGGTTGGTGAGAGGAATATTGTGCAGATTCCCCGGTAAACTTGCCATCCAGTCGGCGAAGCGGAGCTCGTGCTTTCCGTGAGACGAAGCCATGGCGCCGCTGTCCCGGTGCCTCCGTCGGTGTGGCGGCGCGGAGCCCCAGCTCCGCTCATACATGAGGCGAGAGAGTGAGTTCGCGGCGCGAGCGGGGCCACACCCCCACGGCGACCGCGCGCGCACACACGCGCTGCATGTCTCTGTTAGACTGCGATTCGGGGCTTTACACACATGTCATAGCGGGCCATGCAATGCACGGTTCTGCTTTTGTAACTATGTAATCTTTAAACGTACTGTATGTAACGTACCTTGTATCTTGGGGGTCACTATTGACACTTTTGACATGTCATATGGTACCAGTCTAATGGCATTCCTTTAGGATTAAACGCATTTTCTCAAGTAGTTCTGGCGATCTGGGCGCAATCAGAGTATGTTTTATAACTGCTTTTCAACCTGTTCTCTTCAAGGTTATTGTAAGGACCTTTCATGCAGAGTCTACGTCTACGTGCGCGCCTGCCTGTCGTGCAAGGGCGCTGTCCACACTTAGAGTGCTGAACTTTGCTCGTTCTTCCATGTATGCCAGTAAACCTCAGTTTTTTATATGCATATTTAGTTTGTCTTTTCCTGAACAATGTTCAAATGGAGCATTTTATCGCAGGAAAACCACTATTACTACCAGCCGAGAATGGGAAAACTACAATTTCATACGTCTTTTTACAACGCACGAGCAGGCAAGGTAAAAGAAAGCCACCGATAAAAAAGGGGAAAGCGCCTTAGCACGTGTCTCGTTTGATTTTCCATTTCCCCACCACCTGGCGATCTCCCACCGCCCTCGTCATTTATCAGCCGGCTAATTGTCGTCTGTCCTCCCACTGTCCAATGCAGGAGCCAAAGCGACCTGCGGCAGTCTGCCCCCCCCCCCCCTCCACGGACGCCGGCGCCACCACTGTGGGGATCGGTCAAGACAGACTGCTGCTGTGTCGTCTGAGATTTATGGCCCTGGTTTTAATCCCTGAAAAGAGGGTATGTACCCGAAACCGCCCGATTCAACATCAAACTGAAAGTGACGGAGGGCCATCAAGGCAAGGAGAAGCAGTCGTCAGCCGGGAAAAGTCCCGCAGGCTGCTGTGTTGTTAAGCAGTGTCACCGTACTCATTGATTAAATTATGTGGTGTCAGAAATTTCTATCAGCCCATACAGCATGTTGCAATAAACACCAAATCTACAGCCACACATACAATTAACGAAAAACAAAAGCAATTCATTTTTGCCGGGTAACGTGGGAAAATCTTCCCATAATTAGGCTACAACTTCGTCTACAACGATCCGGTTAAGCAATTTGGCATAGTTTGAATAAAGGTATTTTATATGTTTAAAGGTTACGTTCAGATATGGTTGAAGCCCAACAAATGAACCTGGAGTTAGTCTTATTTGACATATACAAAAGATCTTTTTAAATCCTTAAACGATTACACATTTCTTTTTCTTGGTGTCGTTTTCATGTTGTTTCCCGTTGATTATATTTGTTTTTTATTGCCAAAGCAATGAAATTTGTTCGGCAAGAGGGGAAGTGATAGAAGGTAACATGCTCTGTGGATAAATAGATCGCTGACAAAATACAATCAGGCCTCCTTCGATCCTTCTCGTCAGACTGTGAATACATTGGGCCGTGCCTCTAGGCCAGGGGTGTCAAACATACGGCCCGCGGGCCGAATACGGCCCACTATGGTGTCCAATACGGCCCGCGGGATGATTTGAACAATAGTATTAAATATCAAATCATTATTATTAGTAGTAGTAGTATTAAAAAGGAATGAGTGTTAATGAACAGTTCCTGAGGACTTGTTAAATGCAGTTTTACAGAATATAGTGCATTTGTTGTAATTTGATGCACTATGATTAAAAAAAAATAATAATAAATTCGGCCCGCACATGGTCACATTTTCTTCTCATCCGGCCCTCACCCTAAAATGAGTTTGACACCCCTGCTCTAGGCGGTGCCTGGTTCTGTGTGTGAGGCTCACCGGTTACGGCCTTGGAGGGGCGCTTTCGGTGAACCTCCAGCTATGATTGGCCTGTTACTCAGAGACAGAAAGCCCCTAAGTCTGTGATAACATGGTTAATGCTTGGGTTGGCCCATTCAGACCTGGGTCAATACATTTAGGCAGCTCTTAGTACTAATGGAAATGTATTAGCTGTTTATTTTATGCCATAATCACAAACAGTGAAGTGGAATCAAAAATGGGGGAGAGAAAGCCAAACAGGTACTGAGACACATTCTGCTCATTCTTGATTCAGTTGTGCAGCATGGATGATTTCACCTGCTACATCATTTCCCAATGACTCTAACTCCTCCAGGTTAAGGGAAAATAATTTAAAACCTTAAAATAAATCTCTTACATTTAGTCATGTAGAACTTAGTATTTCAACAACATACACACAAAAAATGAATGCTCTGACAACACAATTTCAGTTAGCATGCCATCTTTTAATTTTTTTTGTACAACGAATGAGAAAAGCATTTGAGTAGAAAAGCGAAGGCTTTGCACTATTTTGCGAAGACAGCTGCATCGCCGATCTGGCTTTCCTTGAGGTTAATCTAACCAGTCTCAACCAATTTGGATCAAACCTGTTATTGTACTGGACTTCATATCTCCTGCACTGCTAACAGCACATTACAAACAACAAAGACCCTCTTGAAGTTAAAAAAAAATAAAATAAAACACTAACACATATATAATGGTAACTGACCATAGGAATGATTGGGTCCTTGTTTAAAATTTTTTACGCTAGGTAGATGTGCATCCAGCGCTATATTTGAGTTGGCACGTTCCTATGAAATGAACACATACCATTCACTCAAAGTTAAATACATATTCTACCGTACATTTACAGTATCAACATTAATATCCGCTGCACGTCATTGGACCGTTCTTCCTAAATACCCTTAAAGACCTATGCTATGATACAGTCAGGGATGTATTTCTCAGGAATTCTGGGTAATACTGTAGTGTATTGTATGGTTTGATAAGATCCTGAACTTTGTATTGCTGAGCACGCCTGTTGTCATTCATTTTTTAAATCTGCTGCATTGGCCTCAGATTTGGAGAAACCTGTTAAATAAAAATGAAAAATATTTGTTGCATCAGGAGAAAAAAAGGTAAACAGCATCATTAGTATTCATTACGACAATACAGAGCAGAACATGTCTATTCATTGGGAGGCTGCTTTCATAGCAAACTATCATGCAAATTAAACCAGATGTGTGTGTTGTACATACTTTAAGCCCTTGTCCTGAGAGTCACACTATGTGCTGCTTTTTGTTCCTAATTCACTTCAGTCCTGGGTGTATTTCAACAAGCACAAAGGTACAACATACAGCAAAAGACAGATTTACCCCCATAATTAGCCTGGGAGCACAGGTGCGCCCTACGCTTATCCTGCAGGGCTGTTTGCATGCTGTTTCGTTATCTCAACCAACTCCTGTGGCTTAATTGCAGCAATTTATTGTTAATTTTCAGCGGCATATAAACCTCAATTCCTGCCTACATAGTTGTTTTCTGCAGCAAAATGTGGATTTCTTAAATACATTACATGATGCAAATAAGGAAAAACAACCTCTTTAAAAATGCTTGAGTGAAAAAAAGAAAAACTGCATTATCATGGCCCTCTGGTATTTTCAGTCCAGGGTTTTCAATGCAGGTCTACCCATCTCTCACCTTGAAGTCGGCCCCCGTGCACTTCCTGATGTCATCAGGCGTCAGCCCCTCCCACACCTCGATCAGACTGAGACCCTGGTTCTTGTCCACGTCGAACACAGCCTGTATGTAATAAAGGGGAAACACAGTTACTGATGGCTGAGGCCACAGGAATTGCAAGGTCCAGTGCTGAACAATAACCATTTATTCCGGTTTCTTTTGCAAATGTCATTCACTGCGGCGTTGTTTTGTCTCTGCTGATTTCAGCCTTTACGTTCACTCTGCACTCATACCTAGGTGGCCTTGGTGTTCACGCTGGTGTAAACAGAACAGCAGGGTAAGGCACGGACAGCAGGCTGCCCCTGCTGGTCAACACGGTGCTATTGCGCCTCCCAGGCAGTTGCCCTTCACTCAAGCTGATGGTGATAGTTTTTGTGGGCAAGAGGGATATTGAGAGGAATAAAACGGGTAACCACATAGTCACAGTTTGGCATGTGAGGAAGTGGAGATTTTCGCAATGCTAAAAGCCCTTCCGAAAAGGCAGCATTTTAATTAAAATAGCCAGATCCAAGATTTAGATCGCATGCTGTCAACCACAGTGTCCATTATACTCATGCTAATGATACATTTCCAGCAATCCCAGCAGTAACTCTGCTAAGCTTTCCAAAAGTCTGATTAAATGCATGATTTTAGAACAAAATGGTCACATTTTAAAACAAGTAATTTGCAAGCAACCCATGTAATAGAAAAGAGGTTTGTCCTCTTAAAGCTTATATTTTTTAACCTGACAGTAATCAAACAGTTTATGCCCTATAAATAGAACAAACATTATGTTTCAGATTTGAGCAGTTGGACACAGGAGGCTGCGTCATTGTTCAGACTTTAAACTTGTCTGTCAGTGAAGGGTTTGCATCCAGAAAGCAGTAGCAGCTGCCAGCAGAGGCCAGGCATGGAGAAAGGGATGGTGACACTGATCTAGGGCAACCATGGTGAGGAGGAGGAGACACTGGCAAAAATGAGGAAAAAAAACAAACATGAGGGATTCATAAATTGTCAGTATGGAATTAGAGATCTCTGGAAACATACTGCGCCACCATGTTGAATTGACCCATTCTTCTGTGGTTCCCATTAGTGACTTAAAAGGGAACCACAACCTTGTCTGCAGTGCTTAAAAGCACACACTGATCTTGGTGCATCTTTGGTTAACGAGAAATGTAACAGCTTTGGGTGGCGATATATTTAGCGCAGGTTTCCTGCTGGGTAGTGCAGTCAGTCGTGACAGAATGAAGTCAATTTTCAAAACATATAGATATAGCCCTGGAAAAAATGAAGAGACCACAGCAACATTTTTTTTTCACTCATTTTGTGAAAAATATATATTTTGCAAACTGCAGCCTGGTTCTTCTCGGTTTCTCATTAATGAAGGGCTTCTTCCTTGCTTTATGGGTCTTTAGTCATGCTTCTAAGAGCCTGTTACAAACTTGTGTTGGCAGTGCATTTCACACCTACATTTAATGTTTTCCATTCCCTTTGAAGGTCACTTGATGTCATCCTCCGATTCATGAGGTACTATCGGATAAGTTGACCATTATCCCTGGCATTAGGAAGTAGCTTCCGCCCTTTCCCTGGCTGGTTGTTCCCAGTTTCTCCTGCTTCACATTGTTCTTGAGTACTGCTGTCTCAGAAATTATGAACCTGGAAGCAACCTGCTGCTCAGTGTAGCCTCATGCCAGCAGAACCAGGATTAAACCAGGATTTAAAAATGCAGGTTTGTTTAAAAATATAGTGGTCTCAATTTTTTCAGTATATACCCAACATAATCAATATACTATATGTGTTGCTGCATGCCAGTGCATTTATATTACAAACTGAAACTGGACAGCCTTTTTGGGAGGATGGAAAGGGGTCACTCCGCTGGCTCACTCACTGCGCATGCACACACTGCTCCAAAACGGCTGCCTCCGAGGCCCAAAGGAAAGACTGACAGCACAGAACATGCCTGATAGATAACAGAGCCTCATAAAAGCTCGCGTGAGTGGAGAGGCGAGCCTTGAGTAGCAGAGTGACACAGAATGTGCAGAACAGCTACAGCTTCCAGATTGTGTTCCCAGGTTCGCTGGATTCTTCATTTATTTATACCATCACATAACTCCAAGTATTAAATGTACAACAGCTCTTACTGGGCCCATTAAACATACACACTTCTATTAATAGCACCCCTTTCAGATACAGTACCTGCACAGGCTTCACCTTCTGGGTATAATACACTGGAGCAGTTACTACATTTTTTACCGATATTTAACAGCACCTCTGCTCTGAAGAAACCGGAAAGACAGATACTAACAGCACTCCGCAACAAAGTCCGAAGGAACTGACTGAGTATGCAGTTAGCATTACACTTAACCACTGACTCTAAACGACACAGACATTTTCAAGCTGTTATTCGCCAGCTTCCTTTCATTTATATTCCATAGCCAGCTTGGATAGAATTCACAAGTCCCAGCTTCACCCATTTCCTGAAGCTTACACAGAGCTTGACCTACTGTTGCTTCTGTATCACTTAGATGTTTGTTATGTAAGGTAATACCAGAAATTCTCTGCAGGAAATGCTCCTAACTGCACACAAATATTTGAAGAAAAAAAAAAACCCTCAGAAAATACCCTCGAGAACAGCTTCTCAATTATTAAAGCGCCACAAACCCCCCAGGTATCTGAAGCTGCTCCCGACAATCAATCCACCTCACCTTCTCCTTCTCCTGGTTCCTGCCCTAGTGGGCATCCAAAATGGAGCCATCAGAAGGACATACGCAAACACCCAGAGGTGGGCGTGCGCCAAACACGTACCCTAACGTGTGGCTAAATGTCGATGCTAATAACTACTGAAATGTGTTGATTGCTTGATTGTTAAGTCATGAGGATGAACCGTCGGACATGAGAAAAGGAAAAGGAACAAACTGAGAAAGACATGGAATGAAATACGAATAACAATCTATAGGAGGCCCCATGGAAATGGAACGAAAAATGGATGATATTAAGAGGACAACAACAAAAACAGAGGGGGAAACAGTGGGGGGTGGGAGGCAGAACAAGGGACAAAATAAATGACAGTCAATTTCCATATGAAATGGTGTTACTTCAGTCCAAATGACAGGAGCAAAAGCATAAACCAACTGAAATGACGGAGCAGGAAACATCTGATTGGGAATGAAAAACAATTACGAAATAAAAAGAAGAGATGTCAGAATAAGCCAGGCTGAAGCCAAATTACCAGATTGGGAAGCAGTGTCCATACTACATATATATACAAAATGTATATACAAAATGTATATACAAAATGTGTCTGCTGGCTGCTCCTGTGCTTTGAGGAGCCTCCTCACCTTTTATTCCTGCTCTTCTTCTTTTGTCGCTTTATATAATGTGAATTAAAATGTGCTTTGATGTGTATGATTAAAATACAGAAGGGGGGGGGGGGTGAGGCTTGAGACCTGCACAACCTGCACATGCACATTTCTGTCCTTCACGGAGATTAAGGACAGAGGGGGAGACGCTCGGACCTGCGTAAATGAGTTAGTGCAGAAAGGTGAGGTCTGTCTGTCATGTGCTGCAGTGCACCGTAATATGGAAAATTAACTCGGTACCAACATGGCTGCTGGACTTGAGGTCTGAATGTAGAAATAATTAATGTTACTGTCTGTAATGACTGATCTTGATAAACGAATGATCTAAATGAACGTCAGTCTGATAGCAATGAATCAATCAGAAAAATCTATTGCGTGCATTTCTGATTTTCACTTTGATAAGCGTCATGTTTATGAAACTTAAGCCACACTATGGTAAATATTATAACAACTCTATAACAGGGAGAGTTGAATTTCAGTATAAACAAATGTATAATTAGTTTGGTCACTGAATGGTTAAGTAGATAAAGTGCTGTTTGAAAAATCGCACGTTTGCGTGCTCCACAGATCTGCAAAGGGCTGCCCAGCCCACCGGTCGCATTAGCACTACATGACAGATTCCAGTTATAAACTAACCTCTCAGCATACAGCAAACACAAACTGGACCAGCGCTTTAAGCTTGAGCAAAAGGGTGGTTTCTTAGGTCGCCTTTGCCGTCTGAGCTGGATAGAGTGGGCGAGGGGGGGGGCCTCTGGGAGCAGCAAAATGTCACGGGAAGCAGGAACGGGGACGGGGGGAGGGGGCGGGACGTGCCAGCTGCAGCTGCGGAGCTTCAGACGTACGAGTTCTGATCTCTGACACAAGAGCATCGCAGCGTTGTCCCCCAGCGCTACCACAGCCGCTCAGCTATGAAATCTAATCATAAATAATAAAAATGTATGACGGCTCGCATATGGTCACCCCATCCTAGAGAAGAGAACAGCAGATTAGTGAACGCAGACAAATATAGAAAAGGAGATCAAGCAACACAAAATGAGGAAGATAACCTACTGCCATCTATCCGCCATCGTCTAAACACTTATCATAGTCTGGGCCGTGGGGGGGGGGGGGGGGCAGGAGCTTATCGCAGGCACAAAGCTGTGGAGCACGTATGGGAAATAACCAACTGCTTTGCTATAGATTTGGCTAGATGGGTTACAAAGGTATTCGTAAAAAATACAAATTTCAGTTATAGCTTTCGAATGCTTACATATTACACTCCTACAATGAGAAGGATTAAATATAAACACCTATAAAAAGTAGGGGTTTCCTCATTACTGACTCAAATAAGATGCTTTTAAGCATCATTCACTTGGGTGCATAGTCTCTCCTAGGCACACATTGTGCTGGTGTTCTATTTAAACTGAAAATCACGTTCAGTCCCGTTTCCCTACAGCCATGATGGATGACAGTCAGTGGCTAAAGAGCAGTTCAGCAGGGGACCGGATTTTAAGCAATTCCACTTTGGTCAAATGGCTGCCGGGAGGAGGGATGCTAATGGGGGTGGGGGGCCCAAGGGGTCCAGGCCTGACAGGCAAAGCACCATTTTCTGTACCCATAATTACATCCATCACACATGTGGCTGTCCAGCAGCCCCCTCAATATGCCCGCACACTAAGCCAGAATCTCAGTACATTTACGGGCAAAATCTACCCCTTAGAGAAAATCATGTAAAACACACACACACACATAAGCTAAGTATCTAAATCCTTGTGAGGACCATCCATTCATTCCTATGGGCTATGGGCATAACCCTAATCTATCACGACCCTAACCCCTAACCCAGCCCTAACATTAACCTTGAGTAACCAAACAAAATATAAGACTTTTTAGTTTTTTGATTGTATTCACAGATTTTTATAAAATTGAGCTTCCCCTTCGGGGGACTGAAAAAATTTCCCCACAAAGTAAAAAAAAACACAATGCAATATACACAATACCTGTCAATAGTTTGGACATGCCAAGCCACCTACAAAGGAGAACAATAAACTGTCACATCACATGACCAGGCCACCTGACCTAAACACAGCAGAGATGGTTTTGGAAGAGTTTGATCCGAGAGTGAAGGAAAAGCGGCCAATGAGTGCTCAGCATATATGTGGGACCTCCTTCAGGACAGCTGGACAAGCATCCCGGGAGGCCACCTCATGGAACTGACATAGAGGGGACAGTAGGGTCAGCCAATCCTGGAGCAGTTGGGGTTAAGGGTCATGCTTAAGGGCCCAATGGTGGGATCTCTCTGCCGACTTAGGAATTTAAACCGGCAACCTTCTGAGTCCCAACCCACAGAACTGCCCCCACCTCCAACAAATTATTTTTTTGCTTAATACTCAGTCAGATCATAACTCTATGCTATTTTATAGTTTTGTGTATTGTGTGCAAATAAAGCTTTATATGATAGGCATGTGCAGACTTTTGACTGGTACTGCATCCGATGACACGCACACACACACATACACACACACACACACTCCATATAACCAACCCCTTCCCTCAATTGATCTTTATGTCAAAAATTTCCTCATGTATTCAAGTTTATTGATTTCAAGGCAGGGTCATGTAAGGAACAGCCAATCCGCCGCACCGACAAATCAAATTTAAAGGCTCTGTTTTATTTTTATCTTGCTGTTATAGAATTCCACCTATGGTATCACAAAAAGGGCAAAGTGTACTATAGATCTGTAAACGTGCACATGGGCAATTTCTCCCTTATGAAAACACCCTTGGGGCAACTACTGTATGAACAGAGGTTCATACTTGCAGTTAATCGCTGAAGAGCGCAGCAGTTTCCCGGTGAGTTGGTGCATGTGTGCAGGTTTGTGTGTGTACATATATCGGGGGAGGAGAAGGTCCTTGATGTTGACAGAGCCGCTTCAGCAGCATGCGTCACGTGTGTGCTGTCCATACAGCAGGTTCAACCTGTCTAAGTAAGGCAGTGGGGGCTGCAGCAGGCATGAGGGATCGCTATGGCAACCTCGGGTGAGAACACGGCGACGCCCGTCATGAGCAGACACAACGAGCCGACAGCAGCTGTCTGGACTAGTGATCTCTCAGGTCAAGCTCAAACCAAAGAATTAAATTTTTGGGTGGTATATGAGAACATTGCTGAAAAAAAAATAAAACACTCTAAAACAAAAAGTTCCAGTGATGTTGGGTTGTATTTCCCTTGGGATCTGGAGTCACAGTGTGTCCTTTTATTAAATAGACAGCCCACAAATAATGGATGGGCCGAGCCAGTGTGGTGGTCCTGACCTGACCATCTCTAGCTCTCAGAAATGCAGCCCGTGCCTCGGCTTTGCTCAAGCAGCCGTTCACTCTTTGCTCTCTGCTTCACTTCACTCAGCAGGACAACATTTACTAGGCATCTGAGCATACATATTATGTTACTTAGCTACAAGTGCTCCAGGATTTCCATTTTCTTCTGGCTGCAGCCATTGGCTCCACATACAAGTACTCCGTGTGCTCTAAACCCCAGTTTGGTTTGTGATGCCAGAACATCGCCAAACTGGTGGAGGATATTCAACAAAGCAAACTGTGCAAGAAAAACTGAAATAATGCACTAGCTTCTCGGGAAGCTCCTTATTTATAAAGAAAATAAATGACACATCCTTAAAAGTAGAGCACTGAACCAAAGCAGAGCAAATCACATCCCTTGCCCTGCAACCTTAGTGGGTTCTTATATATATAACTAAAACAGGACTGCTGCTGTGAATTTAATTTTTTTTAATGAATAAGAATGTTTGCCAGGAAAACAAAGTATTTCACCCCTAATTATTGCCTGAAGGAATTGATTTAATAACCGACTGACCAAGAACAGAAGCTTAAACGGTGATTGCATCCTAGCTCTGTCAATGCAACAGCAACCCTCCCCAACACGTTATAAAACAGACCACAAAATTCTGTGACCACCTACCGGCACCTGCAAGGTTGTGATGATCCGTAGCCATTTTTCACGGTATATCTTGACTGCATGTGTGTACATATGGATGTCAGTGCTAAGTAACAGCCGGATCTACAGTCACCTTCTTTTTGATCAAAGACCTATAAGGCTATCAATGGCTCATAAGACGAAACAGACGATTCAAAATGCACCGTATCTACAGCGCTACATACTGCGGCTGGAATTCATCCCCACCCCGTTATAGGAATGAGGCAACGGGCCTCACCTTCTCCGTGATGATGCGATCCACACACTGCTTCCCGGTCAGTGGCAGAGAACACTTCTCCATGATCTTGTGTCCACCCCCCTGGAACCGAAAGACAGCAACTGGTTACCAGAGGCTCTATGGTTCGCTCCCCACCCACCAGCTGTCAATCTTGCATTATTGTCGCCTTATTGTAAACAAGCAACTTCCCAAAGGTGTACAGAGGTTCTGAAAGACCTTACAGGATGCAAATAATAAATATTATTTGGGAACCAAAACTGTACCTGATTTTTTTCCCCCCCAATGATCTGCAGCAAAAGTACAGTAGCTGTGTAACGTGAGAGGAAAGATGCCGGAGGAATACAGAGTGATGTGCGACTTGGTTCCGGCTTGACCTAGTCCGACTTCCGCCGGCATCCACATTTGAGACTGACACAGCCCTGGCACTCCACTGAATTCCTCCTTGAAGGGGCCCCCACTCAAGATGAGACTGGGCCAGCACAGGTTTTAGAAGAAATGAAACTGGCCGAAATGGAAAAAGCTCTCCAAGACACTCTGGTGCTACCCCTAAAGCCTTGGAGTGCTGTAACTCTAAAGTTACAAGGTTACAAGTTTGTTTGCAGCCAAATGACCACACAGCTAGAGCAGGAGAGAAAGGGTGTGTGTGTGTGTGTGTGTGTGTGGGTGATGGCTGACAAAGGGTGAATGCTCGCTGCTGCTTTCGCATTCTCCGGAGGAATGACCACCGCCCTTCACTCGGCCGCTTCTTTTGACAGACCCGTCCAATTATGCTTGCTGTACCCAATTACCGTTCCCTAATGAGTCTGTCTATTGAAAAGCCCACATTCCCCACTACAGTGGGACAGGAAGACCTCTCAAACGTAATGTAATTAAAGCCACTTCACTGGTAGCTCACTATCATTATCTGTGGATTAGACACCAGAATGCAAAGATATACTGATGAGCAACACACATGCATAAAGATACACACTCCATCCACAGGGTGTTCATTAAGAAGACCTGCACCAACTGTATATTATTATATACATTTTCCATCGATTATGTAACTAAAAATGTTAATTTCTAAGCTGATTTGCGTCTTTGGACAGCGGCAGAAAATGAGAACCCAGAGGAAAGGCTCACAAACATGGAAAGAGCGTACCAATGCCACACAGAAAGGGGAGAGGCATGCCAACTGCACACAGACAAGGCGGGCATCAAACCCTCAGCCTGAGAGCTCCTACCCACTGAGGCACCCTACTGCCCTTTAACTTAATAATATGTAAAATACTACATGGCTACCAATACCCCCATTACCTTGGCAGAATGCTCCATGGTAACAACCACTTTAGTTCCAGCACTGGCCACCAGATCCATGGCCCCACCCATGCCCTTCACCATCTTGCCCTGGGGACAAAAACATACAAGAGACAAGCGTGAGTGAGGAGACATTCTGGGCGTCATTCCTATATATTTCACATAGATCCAGTCTTGAGCACCATTTGCAAACATCACCTCCACGACCAAATTAGATTTTCAGGTCGTGTCATATTTTGTGTTGTGTACTCCTAATCCTGTCCATCCCCGTATCCCTGAAACGGGAAACCCTATTCCGAAAACACTACCCATCACCCGGCCCATTGCCCTCATATGCGGGTCGGTTCAGCTGCCCGACCAGGAGTGAGCATGTACTCAGTACTAATTTGTTTCTCTGGGCTCAGGCAAAGGACGGAAGTGACAGCAGTGTGTATGGATGTGACAGGTGGGCTTCAAAAGTGAGAGGCGACACTACAGGATGAGAGTGAGTTGGGGCTTTACAGTTATGTCTCTGTTTCGCAAGAGAGACTGGAGAAATGAAGGAATGGAAAAAGGAGGATGAAAGACAACAAGTTCGGATTTAGGGGAACTCCATACATACAGGCCTCCAGAAGTGTAGCATATACAAATTCTTTAGTTACCCTGTAACAGAAAGGTTTTTGATCTCTTCCAGTCACATGATCTAAACAATAACATATGGTTGCTGTCTGATGGATATCGCGGATGCCCACTTTTTGACGATTGTGACGTTTTACTATCGATGGAACTACCCCATTCTCCTCTGACTACTGACATTGTTTGACATAAGCATTTGACAACTGACCAATGAAAAGATGTTATATGAAGTCATCTAGTTAACTAGTATTTATGTTTGAACCAGTTATTGTACCAGTACATTTGTATTTATGATTGTTATTGGTATGGATTACTTTACATCGTTCATTTTAACAATTTAATGTTGATAGCTAGAGAGCTAGCTTACTAACATTACTGTTAATTGTGAATAAAAAAGAGATTAGTTTGTATCTTCTTGACATAGACATATTCGCAACACTGACAACAATCCACTAAGTCCATTTAAAACAATAAACCGTTCACTGATGGTTTCTATTTGTGGTACTAAGAGAACATCATTACATTGTTTTAGGTTTATTTTATAAAGTAGAGTTTTTTTCACATCAATGACATATATGCCTTCAGACAGTTATTACAACAGGTTTAGTCAAGTATATTGTCACAATATAATTGTATTTCATAGATCAAAGAACTGAACTGTAATATTTCAATGCATTTCGAAAACCGTTTTCTTTTTCAGAGAGCAGAATGTGTTTAAAGATGTAAAGACTATATAATGTATACATGTGAAAACTATATCCATGTAACACCATCTGTTTCAATTTACATCACAGGTTTTACCTTCATGAAAAATATGTCAAATTTTCCACAAGACTGTTTTTTTTTTTTTTAAATCAATCTTTTAAAAAGCTCGCATTGGTGAGTTCCCTGGTGCCATGCATTTCCATTATGCTGCTGTCAGAGCAAAGGCCCGGGGCTGAGGAGAGGGCTGACCTTTGACCCCAAGCACAGAGTGAGGAGTAGCAATTTAGCAACCCGGCAAGGAGAAAGGGAACGTCCTGAAACGGCAGAGCGGAACGCGCCAGAGCATCTGTGACGCCAGCTGAAGACTGCGATCCCCAGACGAGTCCCAGCGCGTGTGGCAGAGCATGAGCTGCTCTGCAAACAACAGGCAACAGCTGCATCATCACGCCGTCGGCTGTCACCGCCGGCACAGCGCCGTCCGTCACGGATTAACACAGAGGGTGTGAAAGCCCTCTTTTCACTTTCTGAAAACTTTGCATAGTTCTGTCTGGAATTCTTGCATAAAGATTTGCGTAGATCACTGTTTCCCAATCTGGTCCTCGGGGACTAACAGACAGTCCACGTTTTTGCCTGCAAGGGGCTCAGATGTACCAGGTTGGGAAATAAAGGTGTAGATCAGTCACACAAAACATTGCATTCAACTTGGAACTTTCACGTGAAGTGAAAGCATTTACCCAGCAGAGGGCAGTGCGGGGCCTGAAGCCTCGCCCAAGAAGGACAGGGCACAATTAACCCTGGACAAGATGCTGTCCATCGCTGGGCACACACTCATCCACACAACCACACATTATGGACAGTTCACTTAAATGCATGTTTTTGAAGGAAGAAGGAAACAAGAGCGGCCACAGGTAACCCACACAAACACAGGGAGGATATACGGACTCTACATCCAAAGCCATTTGAACCTACACCTCTGAAGGTAAGAAGCAGCAACTCTCCCCACCAAGCCACCGCGGTAGGATACTTGTATTTCAGACCAGCGCGTGAGAACGAGACAGACTAACACAGGTTTTTCAACAGCTGCACTTTTACCTGCCAAACCTGCTGCTGTCAAAGCTGATACCCATCTCCCGAGCGGGTCAAACAAAAATGCCAGTCACTAAAAATAAAAAGCCCTGGAGAATCACTATGTTAGATCACTCATGGAGTTGTCCCCTTCACAGAGATCCAGTGAAGAGAACTGATTATGAAAGGCTCTCACACCCTTGGTGCCACCAGAACTGCACCCCTCCCTCAAAATTCTGACAGGTCTTTAAGAAAACATGAGCAAAAAAGGGGCAAACCTGCTTGCTTCTGTGGTTCATGCTGTAGAAATACAGCTTTAACTGTCTCTACTGACACTCACCGGCTACGAACCAAGCTAGCACGTTTTATGAAATGAAAAGATCTGCAGCACCAGAAAACAACTTTAATCAGAGTATTACCAATGAGTAATGGCAAAATAAATCAGGCAATTCCAAGCGCATGGTTGGCTAGCAATACTGCGCCATACTGGAGTCTCTGTCTCGCCTGGTGTATGTACTGTATATCCCATCTTTGGGCTTTCCTCTGGGTATGCTGGTTTCCCCCCACAGCCCAAAAACATGCAGAGGTGGACTGGTGTTTCTGAATTGTCTGAGTGCCCGGTGATGGACTGGCACCCCGTTGGGTGGCACCTTCTGGAGGAGGCTCCGCAACCCTGCACAGGACAAGTGGGCAGAGAAAATGGATGGATGGAAAGCTTGTTCCCGAGTGACAAAGAGTGTATTTTATTTACAAAGGACAATTAATTTAGATTCACGTGTGGTTTGGCTTGAATAGGAGATTCTCTAGAGTATTTGCATGTGTGCAAACACAAGTCTTCTCGATGACAGAATGACAGCAGAAAGCTCAACACTTCACCTCGAGGGTCCCAGTCTTGGCCACCATTGCCCGTTCTAATTAGATTTTTGGTCCCATTGAGCGTTTTTATGTAATTTTATTTGTTGATTTTGAGTGAGAGAGAGACCTGTCTTGTATACATTTTTGGACTTGTGCTTAGAAGCCACTGTTGCTAGGAGACCGGAGCTGTGATGATCAGTGGCTCAAATCCATAACAAAAGGTACCTTTTGTTTAAGCGACTTTGTAGTAGACACTCTGCCCTTGAGAACATTCAAGGGAAGGACGAGCTGCGGTTTCATTCCTAGAAGGTGCTGCATGATACCATGTTCAGAAAACAAACTTGACAGGAGAGGCTGCCGATTCAACTTTCAGACACTGGACTCTTTCTTAGGGATCTGTCTGAGAAAATTCATTTGTCTGACCTCAGGGTTCTTCACCTGAGCTGATTTTGTGGCACGACTGACCGATGGACACTGGCAGCACAAAACTTCATGTGCAGATGGACCATACCGAGCGAGAATTAAAAATACGAATTCCCACAGCGTAGAGCTTACAGCGGGTGCAGAGCGGCCACTGAAGCACAAATGTGTAGCTGGCTTTAACAAATTAATTGCCACGATCCATGGGATGAAGAACTAAAAGGCAGGCGTTTGGGTGAACAAAGGTTTAAAAACAGGAGGAATGGTACAGGGAAGGACATGGGCAGACAGGAGGAGTGACTATCATGACCGGACCAGTGATGACGAGACAAACAGACACTTAAACATCAAGACTAAAGAGGGACAACAAACATCAGGCGTGGCTCATCAGGGTCACGCCAGGAAGGATACGGGAAGGTCAGGTGGCTATGGCGGGCAGGACCTAACATTAATTACGAGTAGGAGACTGGTGACATATTTCAAGCGTTTCTCTTGTTTCAGTTTTCCATCACTTTCACCAGCAAGAGGATAAGGGCTTTTTCTTAATCTTCAGTTGCTGCAGTGCCACCCATCTACTCTATGAAGCAATAAACACTTTTTTTTTAATGTGCCGTCATAAGGGTTTGACACTCAGAGATGAGGAGGTAAACCATTTTGTGAGACAACAGTCTTGAAAAGCTGAAACTTCTTAAGAAGACAACAGAAGAGGTAAGAGGTCAGACTCAAAGTTGGTGCAACGCCATGTGTAAGGAATTGGCGGCCCACTGCTTAACAACAGGAGAGTGAAATGAAAGTTAAAAGACTTAAGTGTCAAGAAAAGAATTCTGATCTCAAATCATTCAAAACTAAGATTTTATGCTTTGGAGAAAAACCCCAGATAATTAGCATATGGCAATGATACAGATATCCATTTGAAGCGAAGGCTTTGCTGATACTGAATATTTTATGATAACATTAGAAAAAAAAATACTGCAATCACCTTTTGATAATTCAGGTGTTTTGTAATCGGATACTCTCTGATGGCTACCTATGACTTTCTTATACTTCAGCACTGAAACTACAAAGGAAACAAGTGTAGGAAGACGTGACAGCATCGACACGCTAACTTTCTCCCCATCATTCAGTATAAATAGAAAACCAGGTAAATAGGCATCGTGAAGAAGGGAGGAGTGCATGTCAATCATTCATGTGTTTTTCAGATTCAGACACTTTCACTAGCAACACCTTCCACATTATAACATGAAGGCCTGTGAAATACCAGCAGCTCTCCTGTGTCGCATAAATCATATGTGCCCCAAAAAACTGCAATGGAGATAGATACAAATTATATATACTGTAGCAGGAAAAAGTAACAAGGATGCCTCAAAGTTCTGGGAAGATGATTGGAGTAGAAGGGCTATAAGCACCATGCATTTTCTGAACCTCCTTGTCCTATGTGGGGTTGCAGAGGTCTGTAGCCTGTCCCGGAAGCCACAGACACAACATAATGAATATATGCCAACGCACACCCTCTATACCTACAGACAACTTGGTAACTCCAGTTTACTTGAGCCTGTTTTTGGACTGTGGGGAGTAACCGAAGTACCCCTAGGAAACCCGACAATAAGATGGGGAGAACATGCAAACTCCACACATGTGGAGTCATGGTGGAGAGTCCATGTGCCCAGTCCCCGAGGCATGAGGCAACAGTGCTATCCACTGTGCTAATGGATTACGCTTATTAATGAAAGTCAGGGATAACAATGGTTTCATGTGGGACCACCAAGGTGACTGAAGCTGACTAAAGAAAGTGATTGAAGGAATGTTGGGAGGGGAAGCTGGTGAGATGCCTTCACACTTGTGTTACCAGTGTTACAGTTTCTGACACATACATACATACACAAAGAAACAAATAAAAAAAACAAACCCTGACATGCACAGAAAGGGCAACTTCAGATTATGGTACTTCAACCCCTAAGAGTTTCCATGGTAACAGATCAAATATTTCCCACGCACTTGCTATGAGTACGAGCGCCGACCCTGGCCACAGTGCCCCTCCTGCCCGTCGGCCGTCTGCATCGCCTTCCTGGCCTCCTGTCTGCCGTGGATTAAAACGGCCGCACCGGGCTGGACAGCGACTGCAGCCATTTCCCAGGCAGCAGGATGGCGACGTGGGCAGTGTGAACGCCGCATGTCGAGTCTCACTGATGGAGACGTCGACCGGGCCAGTCTTGGCTGTAGCCCAATCACTGACGCGGTGTATTGATTACGGAACAGGGGAATTGAATGTTACCAAGTGAATTTCTGGCCGGAGGGTGAGTTGGGGTGAAATGGGGGCAGGGAAGGAGAGTACCAGCAGGCCGGGGAGTTTAGAAAGATCTAAGCATTTATATATAAGTCATTCTGGCTAAGGATGTCTGCCAAATGCCACAAATGTACATGTAATGTACGTCACTGTTAAGACGCCACATCTCCATAATTATCTGGATGTTGGCATGAAGGGGTGGCACAGGAAGGCGGGGGGCTATCATTGCTGCCTCACACCTCTGTTGCTTTGGCTCGACTTGTGGGGAGTTTGTGTGTGGAGCTTGCATGTTCTCCCCATGTTGTTGTGGGGGTTCTTCTGGGTTCTCTGGTTTCCCCCCACAGTCCAAAAACATACTAATGTGACCTTGAGTTATGGGACTGTTATGTTAACGGCTGTGAGTTGGTGCCTCATCCTCGGTTATTCCCCGCCTTGTGGCCATAGCCTCCGGGATAGCGAAAGGACTTTCTAAAATGACAACTTTATGACTGGGGAAGCCAGAGAAACATGAAGCCTCATTTTAACGAATAAATGGAGCGTATACACTTAACTGTGTGTGACCAATGAGGGGAAGGCAGAGAAAGAAACCCTTAATAGGATAAAACACAACAGATACAGCTGTATCAAACAGTCCAGTGCATAAAAACCTCCACTGATATCAATAAGGAAAAGGAGTGGTTATTTTTAAACTTCTGATTGGACGTCTACTCAAAACAGAAAACACCTATATTTGGCAGTATAAAAAAGTACAAATTACAACAAAAAAGCATAATGGGATTATGATAAAGATTACTGTAGAGATTATTCAAAGACAGGCTAAAACACAGGGTCCTAGTCACTGAAAACACCAGGGAGATCTGCTACGATGCTTCTCAGTTCCATATTTCAGCCCACTCTGGACTAGGAAGGATGCTACAAAGAGACCAAACATTTCACCTTCTTCCTCATCTGCTACTGATGCTTTTTCGGCTAAGAACATCTTGTGTAGTCATCCTTTCAAGCATATGTTGTATGAAATTCAATACGAAAAACTGCCAGGCTTTGAAGCCGAGGCGCTGACACCCCTTCATGTTTTCTCCATTGTGCTGTTTGAGTTCCATATTTCCGGGTTAATGCTAATGCATATTCACCATATCGACATACCCCTCCCTGAAAGATTGCACACTTTGGAAACAAAGTTAGCAGCAAGATGGAATGCATCACAAACCATGTCCCACGATTTAATTTCCCTTCATTAACCTGTTTAATTTATGTATTTAAACCTCTGTCTTGGTTCCCTAAATATTTTATGTTTTTTTTTCCCCCCAATCGGCTTTGGGGTAAAATGTTTGTATGACTATGCTAAGAGTATAAAGCTGTCCACACAGTGAACTATTATTAACACAAATCATGGAGCATATAAGCAGGTCTCTCTGCCATTAGCAAATGAAATTCCAGTAAGTTTTAGGGAGAGGATTTGGGGAGATATTGGAATTCATATTAGACTGGCAAAAATAAACTAGATTAAAATGGAGGGGCGTTTAATAAGACTAGATATTTTTTTCCCAATAAAATTACCTGAAGAGAAAACAGACTCAATGCAGTATAAAATTTCAGTATATGTCACGAGGGTCAGCATCTGTTCTCATTGCCAGTGAGTGCAATGCATTTTGACTCATACAAACTACAGAAAGGTACGGCAGAGTATGTCCTGCACTGCCTCTACATTTAGGCAGGTGCTCAATGTCCCTTTCAGCGTCCACAGATTACATTCATGCATTTGCCCTCAAAAGACCAGTACAATGTAGAACCTGGAGATATAGCATGTACAGAAGATGATTATATTGATTGTCACTTTAAGAGAAAACTGGCCCCAACAAGTCCAGAAAATGCAAAAACAAGTTCTCTGAGAAACAACAAGTAATTACAATTAACATTTACGATACTGAGTATGTGAAAAATTTAATCTACATGTTAATGAATGTTTGTTTCGCCAGCAGTAGCATATTATTACTTCTTTCATATACCTATATGAGTACTTTTTCATTTCATGCTTTATCCACAGCTCAATATTGATCATTTTGTTCTTATGCATGAAAAATATAGTGTTGCAGTGACTGCATGACATGACCACAATCCGCAAGCAGTCCTTGACATTTTCGCTACTTCCAGAAGCTCAATTTCAAGGCCACCATACTTTGCCTTAAAATTAATCTCATTCTCAAAATGTACAGAATCTAAAACCTATTGCTTTGCATAACCTGCACATCTTAAACAGCATCACCAAGAGGAGAGTCGGGCAACCAGTGTCATTTAAAGGGCCACTAGAGGCTTTCATTAACCTTACAGGTGGCAAGTAGTTCAGTGACATTATAGCCTGTTTCAAAGGCAACATATTCAACTTGTGAATTTCCTGCAGCAATTTTCTTGCACACTCGTGGCTAACAATGAAATTCTGGTGAGCAGCTACCAGATGAATAAATGTAAACCCAAGACGGTACTGCTGTAATCTTTTAGTTAGGCTCTTTACAACTCCATTTGCAACATTTAATTTCAAGTCAGAAAATTACCACAACTGCCTTATTTTCTTCTGGCTAACTTTTACAAAAAAAATAGTTGTTTACTCGTGTGCAACAGACATGCATCCATCACCCCATGTAGAGCTGCACGTAACCAGAGACGGGAACGGCAGAGAGCAGGGTGGGGTATGTCATCGATGGACCTGGATAGACTGCTGTCAGACTGGGGCGGTAAAACAGAACAGCCAGAGGGAAGCCACACAAACAGAAATTCCAAGCGCACACCGCTGTGAGCCAGATATACAGCCGCAATCCTGGAAGTGATATGTAACAACATAACAAACCACTGATGACCCCCGATAAATCAAGCCTGGCTCCAGCTCTAAGATACAATGTTGCTCTAATGATTCTCTGGAGGGCATGTGCAATGGGCCTTCGGGTGGGCCAGCATCGTGATTGGCTCCTCCATAGAGGTTGGCCTCCTCTATATACAGGTATGCAAACGCAAAAAGAAAACAAACCTCAATTTTAAGGTCTCAATATGCACCTGAGCTTCAGCACAATTTTACAAATGTCACCAGAGAGTTAGAGTGCATATGGTGTCACTTAGCCTTGTTTGTGAAGTCTATCAGGTTTGCTTTTCAACATAAGCACTTAATTCGGCTAATAATCTTTTCATTAAAACTTCCATAAACTTTACAAGACTTGTCCTTAGACCTTGCAGCACTCATCTGCAGATACTAACCGGAATCATCCAGTTGGCCAGGTCTCCGTACTGGGACACCTGCATGGCTCCCAACATGGTGAGGTTGATGTGACCCCTGGAGAGAGAAAAAAAAGATCTATCCATCAGTCCATCCATAAGTCAAGCAGTCCATTGGTTATTTATGAAGTGAATCAATCAAATCAAATGAAGCAGGTAACTGTGGCAGCAACATTGCCACAATGTTACAATGCAACAATCTGAATTATCAAAAGGGTTCCATTTCATTAAAAACAATCTTGAATTGCCCTATCAAATTGGAACATCACATACACGTTTTTAAATGACCGGTATCTGCTCTGGACAGGTGCAGTCCATACCGCTGGCACTCCCCAGGGTGAAGCTGGCAAGCACCAGAGCGGAGAGCGAAGTGTCACCGCGCCCAATCGCCTGCAGACTGAACGAGGTCACCTTCTGAGCGCCTCATGTCAGCTCCATGTGAAAAGCAGCCAGTCACGCTCATTATCCCGACAGCAAAGTAGGCTCCCACTTCGGAGAAAATGACAGTCAGCTAGCCCAGTGCTGCTGGTGGCCACCCAATCAGAGGACAGCTATTCTCAGCTCCCCGACAGGGAGAAACGAGAATCAAATTAAACCAAGATGAGCCATGATTCACATGTCAGCCCCATGTCTAATTTCTGAACCAACAGCAAGAAATAAAAAAAAACATGTGTTTCAAGTGCATTTCGTGTGCATATATCTGTGAACCTGTGCTGAGACAGGGGTCTAACCATCTCACAACATGCTTGGAAAAAGTCAGGCCTTTACACTTTTTCCAGAGATAACTGCAAAACCTGCTCCATTAAACAAAAACTAAATGGGAAAAAAAATTCAAAATATTTTGCGATTTTGGGATTTTCCATATTAACAAGGCTCAAAGGAACCTCAAGTCAACTACAGTCCAATTGTTTTTTTGGCCAAACCATACAAGTGCTGGTACTTAGTGGCATGAAATGGCATCCCCCCAGGACCACAGTGTGACATTCAGAACGCAAGTGGCTTTTTATGATACTTAAAATGCAAAACACAGGACAATGAGAAACGGGGGCCGGACACAAGTATATTATATATGCTGACAATGAACGATATGGCAACATAAATGTATAGCGTCTGTTGATGTCCCATCAAATGGTAAATAATAAGGTACAGTGACCAGTGCCAGTGCAGGGGGAGGTGTGAGTAATCTCAGGAAGAGCCAGAGGATAAGGCAGGCAGTGGGCTATTCAGTCTCCTGTCCTTATGTTTCAGGTGCTATACAGTACAGCTACTTTTCCATTTACCGTTCTAGTCTTACGGACAGGGCCATTAATATGGGGGGGTGGAACAGGTGTGAACCGGAGCTTATTTAGGGCTGCGTGTGGGCGAAGGGGGGTGTTCAGCATAATACCGAAGAACGGTAGGTGGTATGCAAGAACTGTGGGAGACAAGAATGCCGGCTCTATATTGTACAATGTTAATTGGAAATAGCTTTCCTGGAAAAAACTGCACAGTAGACAGACTCTTAATATGTCTTACAGAGTTGGGTAGCTCACAAACTTAAGCAGCACCACAGTGCAAGTTGGGCACAAATCCAGCTGTCAAAATGACAGAACAGATACAGACAGGCACTGTGACAGAGTGGTGAAAGTGGTTACCAGTGAGAAAAGAGTTTACGGACCATGACTCAAGCTCACGTTGCTGGTAGCTGGCGTCAGAAAGACACCACGTTCTGGGCGGTGTTTGCCGTTGCCAGGCCACTGCGATGATGGAAGGCCGTCTTAGTATGAAGTCTGGCGGAGTAACGCTGACTGTGGCTCTCACGGCCACAGGAACATGTTTGCAAGTGTCACTGACCTTTGCAAGTAAGTGCAAAGCATCAAAATCCAGCGATTCTAGGCTGGGAGATGTCACAACATGCTACCAGCACTCTTGGACAGAACAGAACAAGAGACAACGTAGAAGAAAGCATCCGTTGCCATTTCTTGTCTATAAATTATGAACACCATATTCGCTCCTAGAGTGCAAGCTGTCCATGGTTAGCAAACTCTACCTAGACTTTCTTTTATTAGTGTTGTTTTTTGTTCTCTATAACCCAGGGTTTGTCAGAGTGATTGACCATGAGTCCTACTGAAGGAACTGCACAACTGACAAGGAGGTCTGAGAGGGAACTACTGAGAAAGAGTCAACAATTCAACCCAGTACTGTGCTAAATCTTGGTCTTGACTTTTTGCTCCACGAATCACAAAATCACAGCTAGATCAGCTGTATGCAGAAATCAGAAATGCCATCTTTTGCTGCTCCTGTAACATTTAACATCAGTTCTTGTGCAAAGTTTTTCTGACTTTAGCAGACAGATTGGAAGATGAATCTAAGCCCATTGCTGTATTAATTTATGTGGTGTCAAAATGAAGAAGAAAAAAAAAACTATATTACAGTGTGGTAAGGGCCAACTGTAAATTCAGAGCCAGTTGTCTGGTACTCAGTGGATAAAAACAAAAGTAAATGATTGGTCCACTATGGGGAAGTGGAAACGAATCTCTACTCTGAATACATGAAGGCAAAATGACAACAACAGGGATAATGAGCAAACCGAGGTATAAATAAGAATGGAACAATTAAACAGGCAGTGTCTGCACTCTGCTGTCCTCATAAGTAGAAAGCTCTCTTTGGCACATGCATCCATATAAATCACTGAATGCTGGTGTATCCTTTGGCGTATTGATATCATAGTAATGGGACAGCCATGTTAAGGGTTTGAAAAATCCCTTTTGGTATACAGGTAGTGCGTGCTGTGCATATGAAATAGACAACTTACAAAGGCAGGAGATGCAGTGCTGAAGGAGACAGACTAAGTGTCTGCAGATCCAGATTTAAAAAAAGACACATTACCAGCCAGTCTTTAACTATGACAGTTCAATAACCTTGGGTGTCGTGAGTTTTATTTTTGGTATAATGGCAGAATGTATTAGGGAAAGGATGAAATGACAATGCTTAAGCGAAATATATTTATTATCAGAGAATAAGGCAACAACTGGTTAACTCCATCGGGAAAGAACTGAATCCAGACTGTGCAACCGACCCCCACTATGGTCGGCAAATTTTTATAGTCGGGGGAATGTGTCTGGTGGGCAAATTTTATCGTCATGGAAACCCCCACCAGCCCCATCACTACCACCCCCCACCAATGCAGTGGACCTTGCTCTTGTGGTGCTGATGGAATTTGTCCCTGGGGGAAAAAATAGTTGGGGACCACTGGCTTAGACTCTATTCATCTCTAAATTGCGATATTTCTGGAAATGAGGCTCACCTGCTATGACATCACAGGTATCACCTAGTATGTCTTTCAGCAGCTAAACAGGTCATCAAATACAGTACTGAGCAAAAGTCAAAGAACATGTTTAACGCCATCTGGGTCAGTATATACAACTTAACATAAGAACATATGCAAATTAACAATCACACAATAAAAACTGACTGAAATTTCTTCTGTGCTCCAACAAGTTACTGGAACGTTGCTGGACGGCTAGATGGACACCACCTCAGGTCCCAAACCTCTTCTCAGAGGCACCTCAGCATTTCAATTTCATCACCAGGTCTCCACTTAACTTAATTAGTTAAATAACTCAATGAGGTACTGATTAGCCAAACAAGGCATGCTAGTAGTCAAAGGAAAGACACATTGGTAAATTTGATAATTGGTGCAAATACGGGAGCGAGTTTAGGAGACGATTTGAAATGACATATAATCATAGTTTTACACCAACATGAATAACATTTAAACTTAATTTTCTTTGACTGCCTAAAACTTTTGCACAGTACTGTAGGTGTACTGAATACCTCCCATGAAGGACAATCACTAGGCTATCTTTACAGTTACAGAAAATCAATGAGAATACCATGTATGCTCCAGAATATATTTAAACCCACCCCTGCCCCTCCTCAAAAAAACACCATCTTACATATGCCAGGTCACGTCTGCTGAAAGGCAGATGTGCTATAAATTATTACACGGTTGGGACCGCAGAGGAGATCAGCAAGCTGGACTAACAACACGGCCCCAGGTGTCAATGAGTGGACCTCCAGAATGGAGACTGTTTCACCACAGGAGCCCTGAAACGGTGACCCACCCACGCAGCACCATGAGGGTACGCCGGACCAAGCCGATAGCTTGACATTGACGTTCCGAAAAGCCGCTTCCCGCAGAATGAACTCAATCCCCTCTGACATTTACCTGGACTGCATGGTTCACATCTGATAGAGAACAATGAGGCCTGAGGGCTTTCCGTCTGTGCCGGGTGTGAGATGGGGCCACAATTAAAGCACACACCTGTTCTGAGTAAAACAAAAAAGTCCAGGAATGCGCGCTCAAGGCTGACAAAAACTGAAGCGTCCTCATCTGCTTCCCTTTGTGCTGCCTCCTCTAATATGACACCACACAAAATCAACTATTAAGCCCATTTCTGGTCCCCTGCCTAGGAATTACGCTTTACTGATTCTCATTGATCGGCACACCGTTCTGTGAAGTTGGCGCGATACCCCACGGCTGTCTGGAGGGAAGACAGGTGCTGCTAAAATCGCCGAAATATCTGCCATGGCAACCAGACTGGGGTGGCTGACACGTGCACACTCCGCAAAGGCCATTTCAACAAAAGCCATAAACAGTATATTCACATTTCCTATCAAAACCGGGCATCCTTCAATTAAAAAAAACAAAAAAAAACTGTCAAACCACAACACAGTATGGCATTCATGTGCTATTAAATTAAATGAACCACTTCAATGTATGAAGACAGAGAAAAAACCAACCATGAAAGAAAACCATTTTGTAAATGCATTCACACTCATGGGAATATTGTTTAGAAGTGATTGGCTTTGCCACTGAGGCAATAACAAAAAATTCAAGCACAGTAATGAGAGAAATGAGAAATGAAGACAATCCCTTCAGCATGGCTGCAGGACGTCTTACCCCCTGATCATGGCGAAAGACTCGTCGCTAGAGAAGTAGGAAGCGCCAGGGAGCACGGTGACAGTTTCTTTGCCTGTGTAAAGGAGAGAGGGGTCACGTCAAAAAACCACTCCCAGGGGGGTTAGGGTGGTCTCCTGCTGGGAGACAGGCACGTCACACTCCAAGTGGCCGGCCAGGCTCACGCCGTCCCCCCGGTCCCCCCTGTGTAACTCTGAAGGCAGCTGCTGGGCTGCTGACTGATTCTCCTTCACACAGTCTGTCTGATGAAGGGCTCCGTTCAAAGAGTCTGAGGGTGACTGAAGGGCTCTGAATTACCGGCATTGATGAGATCCGCGTCCACCTGGTCCTCCGTGGGGTAGGGGCCCTGGGGGAAAGACAGAGCACGCGGCCTTATACCTTCCAATCACTCTGATGGGAGTGTGCCTATGAGCACCTGGAATCTAGTACTTTAAACATCTGCCCTTGCTTACCAGTGTACTGTGGCATTGAAATGCATGATGTCCATTGGTTGGTGGCCCAACAAATGAAGTACTATAGAATCTATAGAATATATTCATCATCAGAATTCTTACATACAAATGGCATTAAAGCTCCTTCATGGGAAAAAAATCTTTGTTTAATTACTTAAATTTAAACATTAATTCAGAAAACTATAACTGTTGGCCATATACAATCATATATGCATTTGAGTCATGCAGTAATAAACAAATCTAAGGCCCTGTTTTTTGGATGGGGGCCACCGGAATACCCCAGAGGGGCCCAGAATGCTCAAACCCTTCCTGTTCTACTAGGCCAGCTCCCACTGTAGAACTACCATCCCAGTTAAACTATCTCATCTTCCATAATGAAGGGGCCCTCTATCATTGTCTAAAACAGCTCCAGTATGCTTGCTTGTCCAATCACAGCTTTGTTCTTCTCCTGCTTCCACCTGGCCCCACCCCCACAGGAGATCTGTTATTTATATTCAAAACCATTATCATCCAAATTATATAAATTCCATTACCCCCTTCCCTTTCATTTATCTCCATCAGACTGAACGCAGGACCACCTCACCCAAGCTTCCTCCCTCCCTCTCTCTCTTCCTCTCTCTCTCCCCTCCCTTCCCGTTTTCCGCTCTCCGCCAACTGGTTTATTGGAAACCTCAAGAGAAATGCATTCATACCAACTCGAATTTTATCACTGGAACCTCATCCTAGACAAAAGCCATTTCCACCCCTAACACTGCCAGAGCCATAAAAGTCACGAGAACAAGACCGCAAATGGTTCTTTATTAGAAATGACACTGATTTTTCCCTTCCCCAACCCAATGGTACATTAAAGATTGAAATTATGACTGACAGAACAAAAGATCAGTCTAAAATGCAATTTGACATCGCCCCCCCCCAATTTCAAACTGTCATTTGTTCAATAGCTGCATTCTCTCAAGTGAGCTTTCTCATTGTCATCAGAGCAGTGTTCTCAGTGGGTCCTCAGGGACCCAGAGCCAGTCCATGTTTTTGCTCCCTCCGAGCTCACGGCCAGACAGTCTACATTTTTGCTCCCTCCCAGCTCCTGGACCGGATCAGGAAACACTGCTTTGGAGCATTATTTCCCAGAAAGACATGTTCAGTTAAAGGCGCTTTCATGTAAAACAACTGAAAATTACCCCCCGTCTACACGGGAAATATAACACAACACTCCACAGCCTCCCACAGCATTCCCCCTCGCCCTGACAGCAAAAACATGTATAATCCTGCAGCATGCTGCTATACATACGCCTCTCAGCTGAAAGCGCCTACTGAACAGCCACTGAGAGCAGCAGTAACATTGTGGCCTGTCACATTCTCTTTGTAACATTCTTCCCATTCTCACCCAATCACGAACATGAATTAATCCCATCACAGGTCTCCCCCTCAACACACAGCAGACGTGCCAAAGTGTAAAGATGATGGGGGAAGAATCCAGCTGTTAAGCCCCCCCACCCAATCCAAAATCAACATTGCCAAGCCAGTCATCCTTATCTGCTATACAGTACCTGCAGGCGACTGCAGTGCTGCTACAAAGCTGCTACAAAGCTGCTACAAAGCTGCTACAAAGCTGCTACAAAGCTGCTACAAAGCTGCTACAAAGCTGCTACAAAGCACATTAAAGATCCCACTTCAGCACTATTTTTGTCCTTCCTACAAATACTTGGTATTATGCCATGACCATTTACTTATGGAATGTTGCAAAAAAGTTGAGTAACTAGCAGTAACATTATGGTGCAGCAATCAGCATACAGGTAAAATTGGGGAACAGTTTTCAGTGTAGCAAAAAGAAACGTCTTATTTTGGGCAATGCTTACCAATCCCAGAATGCCATTCTCACTCTGCAAGTGGACCTTGATGTCAGGCTTGATGAAGTTGCTGGCCAGCATTGGAATCCCAATTCCTAGGTTTGCTGATGCCCAGGATCTCTTGTCAAGGATTTTATAGCCACATTAGAAAAGAAAAAAAAAAAGTTCTATGCCACCATAGCAACCAAAAGCACTATGGCTTATCAAAATTCATAAAAGCTGAACTTGCATGGGAACTTGATGGGCGCCCTTGATGACTGCAAGACACAGTAGGTCACGACCAATGTATTGGTCGTACGATTAAGCTGGATCATAATATGGTCCCACAAATTTATGAGCATTGGTGGAAAATCCACCAATAAAGCACTGATTAAGTCTCTTTAAACATTTATTATGAGGAAATAAGCTTTCCTGCTGGGGAAAATTCTGAGCAGCCATTCGCCCTACTCTAACTTACCTCTCCTAGCCTAGTAGTATTATTATTATTAAGGGAAATTTTTTCCGAGTTTTATTTACAGAGCTTATTTTAATGTAATGTCAAAGATGGACAACCAGCATCAGACATCTACGTAGAGGTAAGAACCCTCTACCTTTCCTATACTGAACAAAAGAAAACATTTTTGACTAACCCAAAAACCACCACTAAGAGAGAAAACAAAACAGCTCTATGTAATGCCCTCCAAAGAGTGTGGGAATTAACACAACCAACAATAAAAACCAAATATACAACACAGAAGTAACTAAAAACCAGAAAGGATAGGAAAACTCAATCTTACACCAAGTCTCACATAAATATAGATGAGGTGTGAGTGATCGATTGGGAATGGAGGCATTGTATCATTACCATAGCAACACATTCAGACTGAAAGTGATTTGTTTGTGTGTGAACACTTTGAGTGTGACGATAGTGAGTTTCTACTGACAAACTTGCATAATCTTACGTCAATCAGACATTGCTTAATATTTCTGGTGCCTGTTTAACTTTTCACCAAAACATCAAAAATATATAAAATTATATTGCCTGATATTATCAGTTATAACAATTTTTAGCACCTTAAAATCTGCCTCATCTGTTTGGCTGTAGTAGACAGAGATCATACTCTATTAAAATGTAGGCACAAGGAATAATATGCATCTATGGTAACAATTTCCCCAAACACTTCAAAATACATTTCTTGCGAAGGGTCTTATTTCTCATGCATAATTACTCTCCTCACTTATTTAATCATTATAACCCAAGGGGAAGTTGCTTTCATGGACCAGCTGAATGAGTAAGTGACCAACAGCAAAAAGGGGCTTCGTGGGCAGTTAGGGAGGAGTCCCCAGCAGAGAGATGCTAACATGCTGAAGGATACCGTACATTCCATTCTCAAACTCTAGGGCGGCTCGTCGAATGATTCGCTCTCGGACGATGTCGGAATCTTTCTTCGGCTTAGGCTTCTCTGTCTGGCCTTTTTTAACAGTCCGTTTCTGTTTGAAGAAAAGGGGAATCGAGCATAAGAACAACGCTGAATCATTATTCCCCAAGGAATAACGCCGCAAGGCGTCTCTTTATGAATTAGCAGAACACTTTCACACAGAGTGAAAGTTTGTTACGTGAAAATCAATTTAATCTAAACAAACAAACCTACGAAGCAGGACTGTGTCTGAGCAGCAGATATTGGATGAGAAGGAGATCGTTTTCAAAAACATCTAGCAGGGGTGGAGAGAGTGAACCCTGAGCCAACGCAACTGAAAGACAGAATGCAGAGGCAGACGGATGCTGACCTCATGTCGGCTCTGGTTATTGAACGAGTGCCTCTCAATAACACCCACTCCCTAAGTTTTAGGCGAGACTTCACTTCATGCAATTCCCAAAGCGTGAAAGGAATCCTCTAATCTAAACCGGTGCACCAGCCTGGGCAGAATAGGGATGTGATGGAAAAGCAGAAACTTAATGTCTCAGCACAAGAAAGAACATCATGGGGGGGGGGGGCAATTACTGAACATTAACCCATATCAGTGTCAGTGATTAGCATACTGGTGTCATGAATAATTCATTTTTGTACTAATAGGAATTTCACGTTTGTCTTCACGTGTTGCTGTTTGATCCCATAGACATGCTTTGCAGTGGAAGCAGATTGCTGCATACCCTCATTTACTGGCCCATTAGGTTAAATGGACAAAATTAGAAATCCAAACCTAATGTGATAAAACTGCTTGGTCACACATAGGATTTAGATTTTTTTTTGATTATTTAAACACATTTAAAATGTAATGAAGTCTTAATATCTAAAAATTACAGTGACTACAGATTTTAGAATGCATTACTAAGCAATCAGCATCGCAATTACTGACTCTTAAGCTTATCTGCCCATCAGATTGTTTTTAGCTTTCGGTCTAAATCTCAATTTAGTTTTGTTTTTAAATGTTTAAATGCTGCCTTCTTCTCTCTGTATTCAACTTCCCTCAGTGGACGTCGACAGACATGGCCAGCATGGATGCCCCAAACATGGACAACTTCAGGATGCTTGACCTCTGTATCTGTATAATATATCTAATACTATTCCCTACATGCAATACTATAATCATACGTGTGACACTGACTGAACATCGTTTGAGCACTACCTGTTTCAGTTGCATTTTCTTTTTTATAGTTTACTGTGCTGTGAAAGTGTTTAAAAATTATTTATTGCATTATTGTGTTTACTCATTATTGCATTATACTAAATTTGCTTGAAGATCAGAAACAATTACATGTTTCATTCCCATTTATTATTATTGTATTTTCATTTTAAATGACCTATTTGCCACAGCATTAACTGGATAGTTGCATAATCAGTTTTGTCACAGTCCAGAAGACCCATAAACTGGCCTACAGCAGGAGCGAGAAGGCAGCAGGGCTCATTGCTGCCCTTGCAGCCTCACCTCAATCCTCTTCTCATAGTAGTCACCCTTGACGATCCTGTGCACATAGATGCCGGGGATGTGGATGTCCTCCTCGGCGAACATCCCGACATCCACGATTTCCTCCACCTAAGAGGACGGCAAACACACAGCATATTAAGTGCGCGCAAAAAAGGACCCGTCCCGTAGCTGCGTGGCATCTGCTTAATGGAGATGAGAAACAGTTAGTGCTACTGCTAATTAATCATTAATATAAGGCTTCATGAGGCCATGTTCAACTAACTACTACAGCGTGCATGTTCAAAAGCCAAGAGAACCTGAAATTCCTTATTACCTGTTAAATTACAAGCATAAAATTCATGATTAAATGTTCTTTTGACTGCAGCAAATACATATTAAAAATTTAGTCCCAGCCATAAAAAAAACACTTTGTATACTGATGCATATCATAAACACCAGCAGAGCCCACTGAGAAGTGAAAGATTTAATGCAGAAGTGCAAAGACTTAAGTCAGAGATGACTAATAGATATGAAGCTGAGGCAGAAAGACACCCCTAGGTGGGTGTGAAGGCTAACAGTGCATTTGTCTGCAATTCCCTGCCACGATGCTGCACAACCATAGTTGCACAAAGCCAGACATACTCAGGCAAGGCAGCTTAATCCCTGTTTATTTGTGGCCAGGATACAACCTGACAAAAAGCATGACAGGTGATGCGGCCCATAAACAGCACTGCCGATGGGAAGGCCATAAAGCAAGCTTATTGGTCAGTGATAAACTGGGGGGGGGGGGGGGGGGGGGCAGGAGTGGTTCAAATTAAATTGTAACTGAATGAAGGTCAGGCCATCGTAGTCACACTATGTTTGTTAGGACCACAGAGCAGAGATGGCTGCTGTTTCACGGCACTAAAGTGGCCATCAGACTGTCCAGAGTCTCACCCAAGTCCCTACTGCCCACAACCACAATCAACCACAAGTACTAGGCAAGGGGAAAAAAAAAAACAAGTGGCAATTTTGGGAAGACACATACACCCACATACAGCAACAATCAAAGTCTAACTTACAACAGTAAGCTTGCATTTTGAAAGACGATAAAACATTATTCTGATGTTTCCACCCATTATACTGCAACAAAGACACGGTGTTTGAATGTGACAAAAAATGTGGAGGGTATCAAGCTTATGAGCTCCATACAATTGATGACACTGGGGACTCAAGTTATCAATAAGCACCTAAATTTATTAGAAGGTCATTATTTTAACTTAGTCTGGTGTAATACGCTATTAGCTGTTCAGTCCTGGGCAGCTCTACACGTAATCTTGCAATCATTATCAGAGAATGACATAAACCCTGCATGCATTTAGTGGAATTAGATGGATCATTAATTAAAGTACCCACCAGCCAGAGCACGATAAGCTGTTTGAAGATGGATGGATGAATGAATGGATGGATTCACCTAATTAGGTAACTGAGGTATGAAGCTAAACACAAGGTGTCTTTGCGGTTCGGGATGTCTAGTGCTTCCTGGGTCAGCTTCTCTACTCGCAGGATTCTCAGCAGTGAAACTGAGCACAGAATAAAGTACTTGGGCGTAAGTTACAGTACTGCAGAGATGTACTGTAAGGCGAAACACTTAAACATATTTTCCTTGTATACAATCAATCATTAATAATCAGAATATTTGCAGAAAAATAAAAATTCCCTCAGCTGGCATTATGATAAGAGACAAGGCAAGGGGTGCAGCAAGAGACAAGTCCCTGCTATCATGGTCCACAATTCATTGGTCCACATAGCACTTCAACTACATGTCACCTACACAGCCAGAGATGCAACACCCCAGAATGACATTCGATCAAAACCAAGCGGTTTTTTTTTTTTTTTTTTTATCAAGATCAAACAGGAGAAACACAAGAAGGAAAATCCAAGAGCAGTGGTCAAGTGTAACTGGCAGTAGACTCTTAAAAGTGCTCTGGCTCCTTCCATGGGAGCCGTATTAATTAAAGGATGACCTTTAGTGATTGATTGGTCTATTCAATGCACCCCTGACGTCTGGTGTGGAGATTATATGGAGATCAAAGCACCGATAGACCTACCTGCCGTAATCGATCCCGCGGTGGCCAGACCACAATGAGCGCAGGGTTATACACATCGATGCGGCTGGAACATAAAACGTTTGCTGGCCAGGTCCCTTTACATAAATAATGCAATAATGCAAACCAGCGAACCCCCCCCCCCCCAAAGTCTAGCAAGAGGAGAGAATCTGTATTTATGCAGATAAATGACTATGACAATAACACTCTCAGCAGATAATGGGAACAAGATTAGATTACAACAGCAGACAGGGAGGAAAGAACAGGTGCTGCCTGTAAGGTCTACAGATCAGACCTATAATGTCATGGCTGATGAAGATTCTGCCCACTTCTTTACACTTGTTAAAGAATTCCATTGCAGTACCAGGTTTTTGATATGAAATTTGATCATATTAAATTGGTGGCATTTTCATAATGCAAAGAAAATGTATGTTACTGCTACCTCCCCAAAACCCCCAGCATCAAGCATACCGTCTGTTCCCAGGATGCTTTCTTACTCCCTAAGGTCCATCTTAATCTTAGCTCCACCTTTTCTTAAGTTTCCTTTGGAAACTGTAGTGGGGCAAAAACAGAAAGACACTGTCTTGCATTCATGGTGAGAAGTCATATTAAAGCGTTGATCCCTAATGCCTACTTAGTTCACAAAATGACAATGCATTGTGTATCTATCCAATTTAAGACCTTTTATATAAAAGGACTAGGGTCTGGTTGCAAATTCAACAGGTTTCAAGGAACAAGAAAGTCTGACACAGATGAAGGCAGTTATTTTCTGATTTGCAGCAATAAGCAGAACTGATGGCAACTGGCAGAGACCTGCTGCATCGAAATCATACCAGTATTTGTTTGCCGATTCGATATGTATCGCAATTATTTCATAGTATTTGCTGAAGAGCAGTTCAGGAGTGCTGGAGAGCTCAAAGACCCCTCCCATGTCACTAAAATCAGTAGTTTGCGAACATTTTGGATTCCCAACAAATTACACCCACACTGTAAGAAAGAGAGCAGTTGATAAGACCAAGTCTGTTGGCTGTATCATACTGAACACCGATATACTGTATTGGTGGAAACACATTCAACGTGCAAAATCATTTCAGACCCAAGGCAGAAACTGCCTCTGCAAGTCTCTCCCTAGCATTTAAGGCACTTTTTCCAGGAAATTCAGACCAATATAAAAAAAAATAATTAAGGTTATAAGGATGTTTGTTACCAATATGCGATCAGACTCAGTAGTAGTGTACACAGGATTTAGATCACTATGATTGTTACGATGCAGTTTTTAATTTTTTTATTCGAGAACCACGGTATCCAGGGTAATGTCTGCATACCACCACGAAGGATGGACCACGTCCTGGTGGACGCAAGACGAAGCTGTCTGAAGGGGATTCATCTGGACTGTATCCAAAAAACATAAAACCATAGCTGCCCAACTCACTGCAGAATTACATGTGCACCTTGACTCTCCTGTTTCCACCAAAACTGTTCGTTTGGAACTCAACTTGTTCCCCGGCATCAATATTCATGGTCAGGCTGCTATAGCTAAATCTTTGGTCACTCGTGCCAATGAAAAAAGTCAATTTCAATGGCACCAGCAACACAGTCTTGTGGCAATGTGAAACATGTATTGTTCTCTGATGAATCCATCTTCACACCTTCGCTGACTTTCCCACATCCGGGAGAATTACCCGGACTGTTGCATACCCAGAGTTCAATCAGTGATGGCTTGGGCTGTAATATTATAGCATTCCCTAGGCCAACTACTTGTTCTAGATGGGTGCATCATTTTCAAGGATGTTCACCCAATGATTCAAACAACTGTACCCTAAAGGCGATGCTATGTGTAAGGATGCGGGGGAATGCACTTTTCTGATATATGCCATTTTAAGTGATGGTAAGTGTGTGTGCATATGTACCAGCAAATGGCATTTCTCACTGATAAACTCATCCAGCTTCCTAACATATAGCTCCGCTGCTTGGATCACGATAGCACTGTTTGTCCCTGCGGCAACCCTTAGGGGCTTTTCAATGATGACATGAGAATGTAAGCGCTGAAGCAAAAACTACCCAAATGCTTCTCCTGCAGACATTCGAGAAAAAAATTCAAGCAGAAAACATGTGAAAAAAATAGACAAACCACTCTGAAGGCACAGAGTAACCCGAGAAGATATTGGAGTGGGTTTAGTCCAGAGTTCAGATTTTTCGATGGCTTTTTTCATGACAGTTTTTATTTAATTAGCTGCTTCACATTAACATCATAATACTTCTTGAACAAAGCAGGGGGGATGCAAATGGTATGAATAATACAGATGTTGTTTTCTTTATTAAAGCACGGATTCTACACTTAAAAACCAGCTGAACCACAAAAACACAAGGATGACATTGGCATGAAAACAAACCGAAGAAATGCCCACCGGGGACAGTCTGACACCCTCATGCCAAATGAATTACACAGCAAGATGCGAGGACGCAGGGTCAGGCATTGAATTGACTCAGGAGGGAAATCAATGGCAAACCGTGAGACCAGACACCATGACTGAGATACCATACAGTCCAAGTTATTGAGAATGTGAATATTGTGTTTTTAATCACCACCAGCTGGTTCATCAAAGTTCCTTCGTGTGGGCCAGGGCGGTATACCTCGTTTGGAATGTCGTACCGGTACCTACAAAAGCTCAAGTGCTGAAAAATAAAACTGACTACATGCACACTTTCTGTGCACTGAGAACAGGATGCTTTTCTCATGTAGTTAAGTTGGTTGGTCTGTAGTCTTTAAGTGGCAGGCAAATGAACTCAGCCACCCAGCAAGCTCAGAAGGCATGCCCATAAAACAAGCTGTGTCAGAAAAGGGTTTTATTTGTGCACTTATTTAATGTCCATAAACAACCACATTAGATTACAAACCGTTGAACATATGACTGACTATCTGCGCCATCTATCTTAGATGACATTATATTACAAACCTGACATTAAAAAATGTGCCTAATTCTCTACGTTAAAATACAGAACACGTGGTGGCATGATGAGACGTAGGCTAGCACTGGTGCC